TAATTTCTCCTCCCTCTCTCCTATCAAACATCTATCGTCCTTATTTCTCCTCCTTTTTTGTGTTTGTTACTCTCTCGTAACACCTCTAATCTTCGACATTTATATGACCTAATTGTATTGCAAGTGCAGTAAAACGCTTACTTTAACCATTAATTTTACTCGGGACCGCTTCGTTTACCGTTGTCGGTGATCCCTGTAGACTGTAGATTGTAGACTGTAGACTATAGACTGTAGACCGTGGACTGTACTAGACTGTAAGTGGTGAGTTTCGTCATTCTTCCTCTTCCCGACACAGAGCCAACGAGCCCCTAACAACCCTCCACAGTCCAGCCCTGACCACCAACCAGTGACCCACCTCTGACCACCAACCACACCCCAACACGACCCACCAGTGACCACCCAGGCCCCACCAGACACCACCGCCCCTCCCTCGCCCCCGGCAATGAGCACAGTGGGCGTGTCCCCGTCCCTCCCGCCACCAGAGGACGCCCCAAGGTTCCCCAGCTACAACCACCACTACCACCAGCACAAGGGGCGAAAACTGTGTGACCTGTACCGCGCCCACACGGCCACAGACCCCCCAGTGTTCCGGACAACTCACGCGGACTGGACGAGGAGGTGAGCTGTTGACCTTGACCTTCATTCCTTCTCTTCTAGTCCCGTAACTGTCTACCTATTGGGGTCAAGGTCTTTGGAATTCTATGACGTAGTAGCAGATAGATCTACATGTCCGATCAACGGTGGACTAACGACAGGTTTGCACAACATTCTGAACAGTCAGTCACAAAATGCGATATGCGGGAAAACATTTGAACATAACAAAGAATCCAACATCGTCTTTATAGACCAGAAGAAGGGTTTTGACAGAGTAAACCATGCAAAACTCTGGATGACACTCGAAAAGTCTGCATTACATAGAAAGACGGAGAATAAAATGGTTTGGCCACCTATTACGTATGTCACCAGACCAGCCAGCCTCGAGAGCCTACAACACCAAGCACTCAGGCTATAAAGGAAGAGGAGGGCCACTCAAAAGGTGGATCGAGGGTGTCAAGGAAACCCTGAGAAAACATAACATCACAACTGAAAGAGCTGCGGAGCTGGCCTACCATAGAAAACTGCATCTCCCCTCGACGCTTAACGGCAACAGAGGATGAAA